AAAAAACCCCCTTGTGTAAAATTATCATTTGATCCACGTGACAAAAAATCCGGTGATTTATGGTAGGGTAGTGTATAGTAATTAAGTAAGTATACTATATAGTATATGGATAACAGAAATCATCAAAATCAAATCATACCTTACCACCATCCCCGGCCATATCCAGCAGCTCCTCGTATTTCGTATGCGAGCAGGCGCTCAGCTGCCTCGGCTGTCTGTACCATAGCCGCCCGTCTCGGCCTCTCAATTCTACTGTTAGAATTACAAAATTTTTTGTGCAGCCGCACATTACGAGGCGGCGAGAGGCGAGGGGCGACTCTGTGATTACTATTGGAGAGGCGTGGCGACTGGAGACGCGACGTGGAATGGAGACGCAACATGGAATGGGGACGACTCTGTATTAGCGGAGAGTGTAGAGGCGGTGAGGTGATTGGGACGCGACACTTTGATATAATTAGCGGGGAATGATAGCGGAGAGGATGATGTATATTAGCTCTGTATATTGCAGCAGCTTATGAGATGTAAAGCCAGGCAAATGCCTTTTTATAAGTATCATTTATCCTGATTACTAATCGTTATCTATCGCTATACCGAATTGTCCCCAGATAACAGGAAAGTAGCGGGAATCTATGCCATTAGAAAGAACCACGTGTATCTTATATAATTTGGGTGTATTACAGTCGGCCTAGACGGCCTAGACCTCTCATCTTATAGTCACAATCATATGCCACCCGATTCTTAAGGTACAACTCCTTTGTTATTATGGGTCCTATACAGTCACCCCGTTTTTGCTGGTTCTGTATTGTGTTTACTTCTAAACACCATACATTAACACGTACATAGTGTTTGTTCATCTATTCATACAAAGTTTTTGATATTGGATTTCAGCATCAGCTCCCAGATACAAGAGAGAATGTCAAAATTATTTTATTTTGCCAAACGCTGAATGTGAAAATCTGCACCATCATGCATGAGAACGTATTTGGCTGGAGTAACACTCAACTCATGACTTTCCATCAGGGGCACGTTTTTGCATACCCATTAAGTGGATGGCAGTTCGATATCCGTCTCACGTTGGTTGACAGTTAAAAACCTGATAAATATCGATTATCTTAATCTGTAGATCTCAATTATATTTAGAAAGTGTGATCATTTTTGCAGCTGCGATACAATAGTGATTGATACTAATAATAACGGAACAAGATTTCCAAATTTAAACGAGTTGGTAACACTCTGCCGGCATGGGAATTTAGTATGTGAATGCTCGTATTATTGACGACCCTAATGAATAGTTCTAGAACTAGTCATAACCATCAGTTTCACATTTTGCTGAAAGTCGGATAACATTATCTATCATTAACTATCGCGAGGAACTTTATTCTATCTATCATTAACAGATTCACGTTTTATCATCAAAAAAGTTTTTATCAATGAGTGAACGTGGGAGTATTTTATCTGCCGCTTTTACCGCGTTATTCCGAACGGTATTATTACAGCCGGATTATTTAAGGTTATGCAGATCAGTAATCATGACGATCATCAAAATAACGAATACCCCCCTCCCCCAAACATCGAAAGAATTTTTCGTCAGTTGCTGGATTCTATGTATCATTATAACTCACTTTGTATTATTATGATTAAAAGCAAACGATCACAAAACTCCAAACCAAAACGTATTATTAAATACATTTAGGAAGTAAACAATTGCAAAAGCATTGATCCAACACTGCAGTAAGAATCTTGAAATACTTTACGAGTATATTTTTTCAGAATCCACGGGATCCACGCAACTTTGCAAAGCCATTCTCCTCCTCAATATCAGTTTGGGGTGAAGAAGCCACAGCCGTAACAACAGCACAATAAGCTGTACTAGCAGCACAGTGCTCATAATAATAATATTCTCTACACGTGACTTTCAGACTTTTCCATAGTGTTCTGTAATCTAATGCAAGAAATTTCTATGAAATTTCTAGAATTGGGTTTTATCATAAAAGGTGCGATCTGCAATGTCCAAATCGGGTAAACCTCTTGGTATTAGCGTTAGCGTTAGTAACCGGCAGTAGACATATCATTTCTTGTCAGCTTACACAGCTGAAAAGACGATGTGATTATTATGAATTTAGCAATTGGTTAAAAAAATTTACTACAGCAATTAACATGCTAAATAGAATACAACAGAGTATCGTATAATAAGAATAATAATAATGTTGGAAGCAATTTATGTGGCTTAGCTCGTACTATCGCGCCCTTACTACGATAAAAACTGAATTAAGCCTCAAGTGACCTATTTTTAATTGTGCGCGCTTCTCACTCCTTCAAACACTCGATTGTTTTTCCGACGTCAGGTATCCGTCCCTTGTCTTTCTAAACTAATTAAACATTAATCGTCTCGATAATTGATTATGAACTCTCGTTCCGTTATTCACGCAATTGATCAGCGGACCTTACTAGCTTGATCAAAATCAATGCTATTCCGTTACAGCTTAAGTGAGCCGTTTATTGGAGTTCCCGTTACAGCTTGAGGGAGCCGTTTATTTGGAATGTCCGATCGAATAATCAATTATTTCGACGATAGAAATTAAATGGATATTTATAATAATAATAAAGGATTTCGGGAGAATCAGTAGTATTGTTTTATTCACAACAATATTCGAACTTTTGACACGATAACATGAAGATTTGACGATGGAACATGAGCTACTTATATATCTTCGAGCGTTGCGGAAAAAGCGTAACGCTCTTCTTAGCTATTTCTAATTATAGTATTTTATGCCGTTGCGGATTTTCCAAAACGTTTTTCGAGACGCCGTTACTAATTTAACTTTTGTATTACTGACTGCGGAGGAAGATTTTACCATGTGACTTACTTATCTGCCGCAATCCTATATGCAAACCATCTTCCTCACGATATTGTTGAGTTCAACATTTTACAAAATTATTTGTAAATGTCCCGTACACATACCATCTGCCAAGCTCTTTACCTGTTGCATTTGGAGAGCAGACAAGGATGGTGATAACACAGACCTGGGAGGTGATTCTGTATCAAGAAGATACCAGGTATAGGGATTAGCCAGCAAGGAGCTGATATTTTCATAATAAGGTATTCTGAAGAGAAACTGTTTTATAAGCTCATATACTGGTACATAGAAACTGAAGAACTTACATATATGCATTGTTCCCATAAAAGAGATCAACATGCCACCTCATCACAAGAGTAGCATTTCTAAGATGAAGAACATATAACAAAAGCAAACTATAAACATTGTAAGTTGTAAGAGCAAATATAGAAAAAGAAAAAACACAAATCAGTCAATTGTTAAAGATGAACATCTATTGTCTTGCATCCACAAGCATGTTATCTCACCTTATTGATTGATGGAAGAACCGGAATGTCAGAAAGTGCAGACATAGACATGAAAGAAAGAAAAGGTAAAGAAGTTAGTAAACATCACAGAAGATTGCGAGCACTGTTCTATACATCAGAATCGAATAAAAAGCTCAATAGAGCATCGCGATTGAAAGAAGTCAATCCCGGTTACATTTAATAGTTATAGGAAACGTATAAACGCGGAGTAACATTCTCCCAGTTTACATTTTACGAAAGGGAAGAGAATAAGACGTAAATTCGTCAAATCCTCATTCGCGGCCATGAATGGCGGCATATTAAAACCTTGGTAATGCACTCTCCGTTTACCACGTTAAAGGCGGCAGTTTACCGTCATGTCTTTCCTTTACTCACTCCTCTATATCCCCAACACCTGACATTACCTGTCTGAGTTGTTGCCGTCAGTCTCTCCTGCAGAAGTCGCACCTGCTTCTCCCATTCTAATTCCTCCCACCTATTCTCTAGCTAGTATTCCTGTCTTTCTAGAAAATGTTTCTCGCCCGGGTATGCTTCTTCTCAAACCTTCCAGCCTAGCTTATCTTCAACTTCTAACTCTCGCAGGAATTGCTGCGGTATATACCAGCGGTGGCTTAATCAATGACGTTACATAGTAATTATAATAGTAAAATGACCCCTAAAATTGCACACCCTCGTCGTCATGCAACCAATCAAAAATGTATCAAAAGTTTAATTATTGTCACGGCTGCTGCTGAAATCCGGCTGAAGCTGAAACAATGACTTTTCATTGGTTGATCAGATTTTATTCTCTAATCCCATTGGTTAATTTCAGCTTCAGTGGATTTCAACATCAGCTCTCACAATTATTAACCAGAAAAGTATATAAAAGGCTATTTCGTTATATAACGATTCAAAAATAAATCCCTCATATTAAAAAAAAAAAAAGGTTCTCTACAAAGCCATGCGCCAATATCTTGTTCGCCACGATTCTAGTTTTGCTCGTCACGGCTTTAGTCTTGTTCGTCGCGTTCACAACAACAACAATCATATAAATCAGTTTATAATAAACTGAACTCTATGGAATCAAAGATTGGCAGACTAGACGAGAAAGTGGATAGGGCAGTGGATAAGGCGATCAACGAACTAGTAACAGTACATAAGAGGATGAGACGAAAGTTGAGAAAAGGTAGAAATGAAAGTCGAGAGCGTACGGAAAGAATTGGAAACGAAAATTGAGAGCGTACGGTGTGGAAAGCAAACCTGGAATTGAAAGATTACTATGAAAAATGCTACAGTAATAGAGCGCATGCTCTTCCCATTTCAATTACGATCAAGACTTTTGCTTACATAAGAGGGTCAAAAAAATGAAATCCAATAGGAAAATTGCTAATTCACAAACATGTTTATTCTGCAACCTTCTTTAGTCACAGTGGATGGTGTAGTGAACACTCATGGACTGTATTAGGAAAAAAAAATATGCAGAGTATGCTCACTTTATCTGTTCAGAATGCTTCATAAAGAGGGCGGACATTTTTTCCAGAGACCAGGACAAGGAATTTTGCGTTCTTTATTTGTTTACAAGAGACCAGGACAAGGGCAGGGGAAAGAGCAAAGACGTGTGCTGATTTTCATGCAGAAGATCCGGAAAAAACACTGCCCAAGAGTTGGATAAAATTGAAACGTTCACTTTAAAGGAGGCAGTAGACAAATACATTAAAATGAGGCATATGAAAGATTATGGTTTGTGTTTTCTCTTTCCGCGCTCGCTCATTATATTCTTTGTATTTGTGCCAATAGAAATACTAGTTTATTATTGTATAATTGTCTTCATATAGGACTAAATGTTGCCACGCATATTAAATCGAAAATGATGGGGATGTGGCGCTCTTAATTGATGAGGTGAAGACCAGGCCGGGTCGGCGGAAAGTCATAGAGCCGAAATCATCGAAATAGAATATACTATACACAATCGAATGTTGTGCCGAATATATACATATTACGTGCAGCACTCGGAGTTAATAATCTACTTACTTGAAATTCTAAGAACCAAAACTATTGCAGCAATATCAAGACAAACAATCGACAAGAGGACAACACCTTTAAGACATGTCACTCAGTTGAATTTTAAATAATAATTCGTCAGGGATGAAAGGGTCTGGATGATAATCTCTTCCTGTTAGCGAAAATCGTGTTTTGGAGATAAGGTGGGAAAGATAGATTATTGAAATTTTGCACATTTGGCAATGTACGAGATTTAAGCATACAAAAATAATAAAAATGGATATTTATGACGACCACTGTAATTAGTTTGCTGTTGAAAGTCACGTTGTTTACAGAATTTTACGCTACGGAATTCGACGACCCGATTACATTGATAAAGTTATATGCGTGATGCAATCCATAATTTTGTTCTTAACGTGATAATTTGGCATGCTGCAACAAAGTGAACAATGCCACAGAAAGGTCATTTTACTTGTTCCTATTTGATCTTGCTCATCCCGTTTACCCGACTTCAGCCTACGATTGACTAAGATATCCAGGAGAGCAAATATTCTACAGTCTTAGATAACGCACCAGTACACAGATAAGTCTGTTATGAAATTTTTATTTTATCTACAGACTTCAATTCTATCGAAAAAATTAGGCAGGAAGAAATTGATCAAGAGGGTTTGGAAAATTCATGTAGACCAGCCGCAATCCAATACGTTTGATACATCGGGTCGCCGATACGCATACCTTCTATATTATAATTTTATTTTTTGATTTATTATAAAATTTTTTTCTATATTTTTGATTTAAATTAGAAAGAAAATAACACAAAGTCTAGTTTTTGTCAATTCTCTTCTTCCGCTCTCCAATAACCGCTTTTCCCACCGCTCTTTTCGATCAACCTAATCTCCTCAATAACCATACCCTTTCCCGCACTTTTACACATATCAAACACAGTCAATGCAGCCAAACTAACGGCGGTTAATGCTTCCATTTCAACGCCTGTTTTTCCTTCGCATTCAACTTTTGCTTCTATTTCAACGGCATTCGTCTCTTCGTTCAATCTCAAATCCACATGCACATGATCCAAATTCAACGGATGACATAATGGAATGAGATATCCCGTTTGTTTGGCAGCATTGATGCCAGACAGGCGAGATACAGTTAGGACATCACCTTTGGAGAAAGAATGCGAGCGAAGAAGCGTGAATATTGCATCAGGGAGAACAATACGGCCTCGGGCAATTGCTGTGCGATGCGTCTTGGCTTTTGCAGAGACAGATACCATTCTTGGTTCCGATGTCTTGGAGTCAATGTGAGAAAGGGAAGGGGATTGATCGGATTGGTCGGATTGATCAGAGGATGAGGATTGAGATAAAGGAGACGAGAAAGAATTTCTTGTTGAATAGGTGTTACGCGGAACAAGTGATGTTAAAATAGGGGAAGAAAGAGTCCGGTACAAAGGAGACAAATAAATAAAGGTCAATGGAGAAAATAATGGATATTTGGACGGCTGAGAGTGTAGATGAAAGTAACGTGGTTGATGACTAGGTGAAGCTGATAATAAGGTTGGTTGTAGTTGTGAATGAGACACTATATCGATCGTTGAGTGATAATTCGTTAAAAGAATGAAGATTTGTGAGGCATTATTGCTATTAATCAAATCCTTGAATATTACGGTTCAAATTCAAAGTTAATACATGCTTATATCCTTCACGTTAAAATTCACCTTGTTCACATCCCATTTATCTCAATACTCACCAAACACATTTCACACATCCGTCATCATCCTCCAATTAAGATCATGGGCCTATTTTTCGTCCTTGCCAATTCAAACATACCTGCGTGCTGTTTCTTCTTGTTTTTGACTGCGATTTCAATGATTTCTAACAGTTGCTTCTCGGATACATTTTGTCGCATCAAATCACGCAGGCTTATTTCGGCATTTCCAAAGAGGCACACTTTTAAATTACCATCAGCAGTGATACGTAGTCTGTTACATGTGCCGCAGAAGTGATCGGACATCGAAGTGATGAAACCTATTCGACCTGCAAAGCCAGGAACGTAATAGGCTTTGGAAGTATCATGTGCGTCATCCGAGACTTTTGATATTGACGGATAGCGGGAACGGATCAAGGCGATAAGGGTGTTATATGGGACTAATTTGGTTTCGCTCCATTTGTTTCCTTTTTGGTAAATTAATAGGACGAATATAGGTCAGGCGGAGAACGTGAATAATTTTGAATGACTAACAAATGCGTATTTATTTACCGTCAAAAGGCATATATTCTATGAATCTGACGTCGACAGACCGATCGCGTGTGAATTCAACAAAATCCGCGACCTCCTTATCGTTTATTCCACGCATTACGACACAATTGACCTTCACCGGGCGTAGACCAAGTGCAATTGCCTGGTCGATTGTCCTGATGACTTGATCCAAGCCTGGAACAGATCAATGATAAAGGGTTAGTCACACAAAAAGTCATTAGCGCGAACAACCACCAATGCATTTTCTTTACCTTTACGGCGAGTAATTAATTCAAATTTAAATGGATCAAGTGTGTCTAAGCTGATATTTAACAGATTTAATCCATTTTCGACAAGTTGAGGCAATTTTTTTCGTAAAGCAATGCCATTAGACGTCATTGCAATGGTTTGTAGACCAAGCGGTTTGAGCTTATTGAGTTCTCCTTTAAGTTGTGTGGTAAGCAAGATTAACGGTGAATACTATAAACATTCCACAATTGTGCATCAAAGATCCACTCACCGACTAGATCAACAATGTCTTTGCGTATAGTTGGCTCCCCTCCAGTTAAGCGTATCTTTGTGACGCCCTGAGAAACAAATAATCGTGCTATTCGAATAATCTCGTCGGAAGAGAGTAATTTGTCGGAAGGAGTTAGATCAACGCCCTCTGCTGGCATACAATATGTGCACCTCAAGTTACATCGTTCGGTCACTGAAATGCGTAGATAAGTGTGCTGTCTATTGAATTTGTCGGTCAGAAAGTTGCTGAACGGTCGTTCTTTCTCTATTGCGGTTATTTTTGCCTATGATATTACAAGGGATTGATGTGTTAGTAATTTCTATGGAAGCAAGTACTGCAGTGACTACACATCAATGAACCTGTATTCGTCGTCTTGTCTCGTCACCTATTGTCGACGTACTAGTCGGCTTTGTAGATGAAGCATATCGCCTAAGATGTGGCCTTTGTAAATATAATGGATTTGAAATCGACTTTAGTATTCTCATCACTTTGTGGATAGTGAAAAGATGATATGACAGATCGACGGTACCCATTAAAAAGGATAAGGAGGTTCGTACAAGATAAGACTTTATCTTATCAGTTTGTTTTAAACAAATCCCATTTTATAATAACTGGTTTTCACTAACCATATTTATGCACATACCGCCAAAAATCTCCGTGATATTGTCGATCAAATTAGATAACGTATTTGTATAAGTATTGTATAATGTGGCACAACTGTCAATTGTTTAGTCGAAGCAAATATTTTTCTCTCAATCAAAACTTTTCTTTTCACTTTCACCACACGGAGAACTCCTTTAATGTCCATATAAGTACCTTTAAAATTAAAGTTTATAAAAGTTACACAGTTTGTCAAATTATGCACCTGTTTTCGGGTGAACTTTATTTGTTAAAGTTTATCGATAATGTTTGCCGTTATTTATTGATTAATGTAGTTAGTTAGTTTATTGTTATTTAGTTTATGATAATTTTTACATAGTATAAGTTATCTGCTATTAAAGAGGGTTTCAATGTTTTATTATACGTGTTATTATTATCTGTTCATTAATAGTATTTACTTTAATTATTTTACCTGGAATCTTTTACCAGATGTTTTAAAAACGGTTCTTCCTCGTGATTAATCCAGAGATTCGAGTCAGATGTGTTCGTGATTGTCTAACAAAGAAGAAGCATCAGAATGGTTGGCAGCATTTGAAAACTACAATGCCGCAAACAAGAGGTTTTAAAATAACAGGAAACAAGGTACTTTTTAGGGAGTTACACCATTATATCAAGTCAAGAAAAAACAAGTAAATCGTATAAAAAAACGTCAGTTTCACCTCAGGAACGTGATATCGATTGTACTGCAAGCATTCATATTCGATTGGAACGTCGGAAACTTACACTTAGCCATCCATTAGAAATTAATATTAAATTTACACACAACCATGCAATTAATTCATTTTATTGTGACATTGAGATTAGGCGGCTCTTTAGCCCGAGACTCAAAAAGCAACAATGCCTCTTGACGAATTTTGATAATTTTTTCTCGTGACTGTTCGAATGCCATCGCCTGAAAGAATTTTCGCATCATCAAGCTTTGCTGAATAAGGTTTATGTAAGTCATTTGAGCCCGGATAAAGCGGCTTCGGTTTTTCCCATTGCATTTTTTATATTTTCCAAAGCTTTTATTGCATTAGAACCTTGTCTTCGGAAATATGCCAGCCTCTTAAAATGTAATAACGCTTCGGGATTGTTGAGTCGTTTTACGAAATCTATATTACATAGTTTAACCTAATCAGTGATATCCATGCCTCAATCTTACCTGAAGCATACATCTTCCATAAATAATGGTTCAGCATCATCAGGACTAATATCTGGGGTATTAGCTATTAATTCTGCATCAGCGACTTCAATTTTCTCCGCACCATTCTTAATATCATTAGATACGTTTGTACGATCAGTTTTAACTGAGAGAGAATTTCGGGAAAATATTTAGCTGATAAACGTTTCTGATATTCGACCTCAATGTAAGTTTCTACTGCGGATGATGAATCAAGAGCGGCGATTCCGTCTTCTTCAGAGATATAACAATTAACCATTCATTTACAGTTTTGGTAGGGGTGATAGCTAGCCTCGGGGAGGTATTGGCAAACTACCTACCAAGTATGGTAGGGGAAGTACTGATCTGGAAAAGAAGTTAAGCGTTACACACGCATCGGTTATTAGTGTTGAGAATGCTTTGTACTTGAAAACTTCTTATTCGAACGATGTCATTAGTTATCAATAATCCAGCAATTAACAATTTGGTTCAATCCTCCCTGGAAAGTGAAGATAAAGACTTAAGACTTGAATGGATTCCTTATGAGGAAATCTCCAACATAGAGCTAACTCAAATTGACAATGTCTACTACGCTAGTCGTTACGGCATTAAGAATATGCTGTTGTTATGCCTTGGAAATGATGAGATATGTACACCAACACTTGTGAGTGAGTTTGCTAGAATCTACTCACTTCCGACGCACAAATACAATAATGATGTCAGTCAGTTCAGAAGATACTCCAAATGGCTTGAATATCGCAACAAACGCATAAAAGGATTTACCAATTACGATAACAATTACTACATAGTTGCTGATAGAACGTTTTATGATTGTTATTCTCGATATGGCTTCTGCACTGCATGTGGAATACTCCGATGTAGTCCCGTGTGGTGCATCTGTGGACATA